CAAGGTGGTTGGACAGGCTGGCGTCGGGCTGGGGGTGGTGGGCACAGCCTTCCTGGAGTCCCCCAGCCAGAGGTAGGGGCCGTGTGTGGTGCCCTGTCCTGCTGCTGGGTCCTGCTCGGGCCCCAGGCCCACCTCTCTGATGGCATAGAGCAGAGTCATGACAGCAGACATCGTGGCCGCTTATGGAGACTCTCAGTGTCCTGAGCGCCCACGCCACGTTCCTCACCATGTCTGCTCTAGAGAAATAGGTAATGTTGTCCCCGCACTTCCAACAAGGGCACCGGGACCGACAGGAGGTCGGTCTGAGACAACACCGCCAGGAAGCGGGGTAACCCTCTTATAAATGGTTTTCAAGAACTGTTGTTTCCTGGGACCAGCAGTTACTATAATGGCTATGTCACTGGACTCCCATGTAGTCGACTGAGGTTCGAGTCCCGGATCCGGTGGCTTAAACTCATGCCGGGCGCATGTGTGAGCGTGCCCAAGATCCCGAGAGGAGAATGGAGGAGAAGGGATTATGGCGTGGCCATCCCTCCTGGGGGGCGATTTCTCACTGTCTCTGTCTCTCTCTGTCTGGCGAGCGCATGTGCTCTATAGCAAAAACCTCTCCAAAAAAAGAAAAATAAAAGATATTAAAAAGGCAGGCAGTCTTCACGATAGGGTGCAAATCCTGCCATGGGAAGGTGAACCCCAGGCCCCACTCTCCCCGCCCTGCTCTGCTCCCCGGATCTGCCCCAGTCCTGGGAGACGGGAGCCCCACGGTGTCCTCCTCCTGCCCAGAGAGCGAGGACGACTACAGTGACGACGACGACATGAGCTGGAAGGTGCGGCGGGCGGCGGCCAAGTGCCTGGCAGCGCTGATCGGCTCCAGGCCCGACCTGCTGCGCGATTTCCACCGGACCCTGGCGCCCGCGCTGCTCCAGCGCTTCAAGGAACGCGAGGAGAACGTCAAGGCCGACGTGTTCGGGGCTTACGTAGAGCTGCTCCGGCAGACGCGGCCGCAGAAGGGGTGGCTGGAGCCGGAGGAGGAGCCCACGCAGACCGGCAGCAGCTTGGGCTCCCTGCGAGCACAGGTGGGCCGCGCCCCCCGCCCAGCCCCGCTCAGGTTCGCGGTCCCACCTGCTCAGGGCCCCTGGCATCCGCGGTCCTGGGGCAGCTGCCCGCCTGCACCGCGTGCTTACTGCACCTGCTCAGAGCCCGCGCTGTGTCTGTGTGCCAGCCGAGGGGACACGGCGGGGACGGGACACATCAAGTCCCTGCTCCTGGACCCACAACCCCAGAGCAGTCAGGCAGAAGCATGATTAGGGCTTCTGGGACATGGTAAGGAGTTTTTCGGGTTATTTATTTATTTTTTTTTTTAGCTTTTCTTTTCTTTCTTTCTTTTTTAGCATTATTTATTTAATTTTATTTATTATTTTTATTTAATTTGCTATAGAGCATGTGTGCTCACCAGAGAGAGAGAGAGAGAGAGGGAGGGAGGGTGAGAAAGCAAGCCACCAGGTCTGGGACTCAAACTGCTGTCAGCGGTGTGAGAGTCCAGCACCTTAACCGCCACGCCATGTGCTGGCCCCAAGGAGTCTGTTTTCTTTTTTGTTTTGGAGAGGTTTTTGCTATAGGGCATGTGCACTCCCCACAAAGAGGAGACAGAGAAACAGAAAGCGAGAAATCACCCCCCAGGGGGATGGCCACACCGCAATCCCTTCTCCATTCTCCTCTAGGGATCTTGGGCACACATGCACACGCGCCCGGCTTGATGTTTAGCCACTGGGTCTGGGACTCGAACCATGGTCGACTACATGGGAGTCCAGCGATCTAACCATTATGCCACCTGCTGGTCCCAGGAGTTTTGTTTTCTAAGAGCAAGTGGAAAACCAGAGGAGAGAAATACTGGATTGGACTCACCAGCTCACCTGGGAAGAAGCTCACCCCTAAAGCTCACCCCGGCTACTATGCAGGACAGTTGTGACCCAGCAGGAGAAGAGGCTGGGGACCACCAGAGGGCTGTCCAGGCGACAGGAGATGGGACCCGGGGGCTCAGTGGCAGCAGCGGGACAGAGAGGAGTGGTCGGGCCTGAGTAGTAGTTGGGGCTCACTCATCAGGCCTTGCTAATGGATAAGCGTGTCTAGAACTGGCCAGTGTCACATGACTCCCGGAGTTTTGGCTAAAGTTTGAAGCTCAGTTTTCCAAGACTAGGGAGAGTCGAGAGGAGACATCGAGACTTCTTGTTAAAATTTAATTTAATTTAGAGACCAGCAGTTCACATAATGGCTATGTCGCTGGACTCCCACGTAGTCGACTGTGATTCGAGTCCCGGACCCAGCGGCTCGAAATTCATGCCGGGCATAGGTGCATGTGTGGCCAAAATCTCAAGAGGAGAATGGAGGGGAAGGATTGTGGCGTACCCATACCCCCGGGGAGATGATTTCTCACTTTTTATCTCTCCATCTCTCTCTGTTTCTCCAGCAAGTGCATGCACCCTATAGCAAAAATTTCTCTAGCAAAATTTTCTCCAAAAAAAATAAAAAGAAAGAGAAAGCGAGAAAGCAAGCCACCAAGTTTGGGACTTGAACTGTGGTCAGCCATGTGGGAGGCCAGCGTCTCAACCGCCATGCCCCCTGCTGGCCTGACGTCTAGACTTCCATACCGAGTGTTTGTGTGTGAAGTCGTCACTGGTGGAGTGGCAAGCAGGCAGCGGCACCCCGGTCTGGTGTAGGAGCTGTAGGCCAGGCAGCTGTGGATCTCGCTGGGTGCGGAGGCTGGTGTGGGGAGAGAATCCAGCCAAGGATGGGAAGGGGCACCCGTGGTGGGACCAGCCAGGGCTCTGTGTCCCCCTCACGGAGTGCAACAGTGACAGCCAGACTGGGTGGCCTTGCAGTGTGTGACTTTCTGCCCCCGGGAAAGGGGCACAGCAGTCGGACTTGCCTTCAAGAGTCTGCATGCATAAGCCAATGGCACCATGGAGCCGTCCCCAGAGGCATGCACATCCGGCACGTCTCCCCAGGAGCGGTTGGTGCAGGGAGGTTTCCGGGGTGCTCCCTGACTGCCCTCATCTGCCCACAGGTGCCCCTTGTGGTCAAGGCTCTGCAGCGGCAGCTCAGGGACCGGAACCCTCGAGCCCGCCAGGGCTGCTTCGGCCTTCTCAGCGAGCTGGCGGCCGTCCTCCCCGGCAGTCTAGCAGAGCACATGTCTGTGCTGGTACCAGGTAGGCTAGGCTGCAGCCGGGCATCTGCTGTCCTTCCCCAGGACCCAGCCCCGGCCCTGGCCCCCTCACCGACTGCGGTTCAAGTCCTGCGCCCGGTGGTATGAAAATCATGCCAGTTGTGTGTATGTGTGCGTGCGTGTTCAAGATTCCAGGAGGAGAGTGGAGGAGAGGGGATGGCGGTGTGGCTGTCCCCCGGAGGGTGGGGGAGATGTCTCACTTTCTCTCTCATCGTCTCTGCCTCTCTTCTTCTTCAGCGAGCACACACACCCGAAGGCAAAAATGTCTTCCTTTAAAAAAAAAAAAAGGGCTCAGGTGCTTTGGTCCAGCTCGGCCCCTGGAGGAGCTCCATCCTTGCCCTCACAGAGGGTGTTGGGGGAGGGTGGTGCTTGGCGGCCCTGTAACCTCTGTACTGCCCCGCAGGCATCGTCTTCTCGCTGACGGATCGTTCCAGCTCCTCCACCATCCGCATGGACGCGCTGGCCTTCCTGCAGGGCCTGCTGGGCACCGAGCCGCCCGAGGCCTTCCACCTGCACCTGCCCACGCTCTTGCCACCTGTGATGGGCTGCGTGGCCGACCCTTTCTACAAGATCTCTGCCGAGGCCCTGCTGGTGCTACGGGAGCTGGTGCGAGCCCTGTGGCCGCTGGGTAAGCCCCGGACGCTGGACCCGGCACCCTACGTCGGGGAGATGGCCGCGGCCACCCTGGCGCGCCTCCGCACCACCGACCTGGACCAGGAGGTGAAGGAGCGGGCCATCTCCTGCATGGGCCACCTCGTGAGCCACCTGGGCGACCGGCTGGGAGGTGACCTAGAGCCCACGTTACTGCTGCTCCTGGACCGCCTGCGGAATGAGATCACCCGGCTGCCCGCTGTCAAGGCGCTGACGCTGGCCGCTGTGTCCCCGCTGCGGCTCAACCTGCAGCCCGTCCTGGCGGAGGCGCTGCCCCTCCTGGCCTCCTTCCTGCGTAAGAACCAGCGGGCGCTGCGGCTGGCCACGCTGGCCGCCCTGGACGCCCTGGCCCAGAGCCAAGGACTCGGCCTTCCGCCACCCGCGGTGCGGGCGGTACTGGCCGAGCTGCCTGCCCTGGTCAGCGAGAGCGACATGCACGTGGCCCAGCTGGCAGTGGACTTCCTGGCCACGGTGGCCCAGGCCCAGCCTGCGCTGCTGGCGGAGGTGAG